ACCCTACTACTTGTATATAGACACCAGTTGTATTATATATATATATATATATATATATATCATACCCTGTCTCAGACCCACTTGCCCATATTTATCTCATCTCCAATCTCAGTGACGAAATAGACACACTGCGCGGTGCCCTGGAATGGTCCAACCGCAAACAATGGTGGCCCGAACTACACATTGCAGGTACCTACTCCACCAGGGTTTTATGGTTTTAGGGTTTAGGGTATCCCGTGTGAATAGTATACATAGTGCGTATTATCGATCACTTCCGTGGATAGTACACAATGTTTGTGGTCTATGACGTACAGTAACAGTGCTCGTCCCTGATTGACTTGACACTCAATACAACCCTACCTACCTTCTATATATACAACCCTACCTACCTTCTATATAGTACACCCGCGCAAAGCCATGGAGCTGCTGAATGCGCGTCAGCGTGTGTTCAAAGTGGCCGAGACGGTCCAGAACCAGTCGCCCTTAGAGGAAACATTCGGACCGGTACCAAAAACGAGCGGTGCAGGTGCGGATGTGGGTGCGGCTTCGGGTGCGGTGTCAGAGGAAGGTGGTGCAGATGTGAGTGCCGGTGATTCGTGATGAGACGAGATATAGACAATATAGATTGCAAGGTCTTAGTTGGGGTAAGGTTTGTATATACCCGATCCCAATCACAAGGCCAATGCCTATCAATGCGCCAAGTGTAGTGTAGTGTAGAGTTTGGGGACCTGACGGACAATCAATAAGGATGCGGGTGCTGAGTCATAGGAAGATGACTACGGTAGGAGTGAAAAGGATTCAAGATGGGACATAGACACTCAGTTAGTTTGTGTACGGTTTCTACCTACTCGATACCAATGCTCTTGTTATTGGTAGTGTAGAGTTTGCATACTTGAGTACATTGGTTGTGAGGTAGTAGGTGTATGTCAACACCGCAAATACCCAACGCAAGATGCTATACCCTTACCAATGTGAGGTTAGGTTGTACCCAATGGGGGTT